TGGGCTCCTTGAACCAACCAAAATGTATCTTCAGGATCCCCCCACTCTTTGTCTGAAACCTATAAAAGGCTCCACTCTCCCTTACTCTGGGCTCTCAGCACGGATCTGTTGAGTTGGTGAGGTCTGAGAGCCCTAGCTTAAGCCCGAAAAAACCATAAACCTTTGCTTTTGCATTTTGGTGTGTTGGGTCCTCGGTGGTCTTTTTGGGGTCCAGTGGATGAGGTACAACACTAACAAATAGAATTAAACAACACTTGGAAGAATAATACACAATAAGTAATTAGGATTTATTCTAGAAATGTAAGACTGAAAATTTTTGAAAAACTGATCAATGTAATTCACACTATTTGCAAAATTAAAGAGAAAAGAATATGGCCTTTTAAAAGCTATGGAAAATTCATTTACTGAATTTTAGCAGTCATCTTTAAAAAATTTTTATTATTTTATTTTATGTGTATGAGTGTATTGCCTGCATATAAGTGCACCTGTGTCATGCAATGCTCATGGAGGTCAGAAGAGGGCATGGATTCCTTTGGAACTGGAGCTACAGTTAGCCACCATATGGGTCCTGGGAATCAAACCCAGGTCCTCAGGAAGAGCAGCCACTGAGCCATCTCTCCAGCCCCTCAGCAGTCATTCTTGATAAAATTTCTGCACAAACTAGGAATGAAAGATTACTTCCTAGATCTGATAAAGTTAACAAACGAAACCCATGGCTATCTTCACACTAATATGAAGCCCTGGAGTTCTCGCCTGAGATGTCGGACATGGATTTTCCCTGTTTTTCTTTATCAGCATTTGACTAGAAGTGCCAGGCAGTAAAATAGAGCAAGTATTACATGAACATTGATCAGTGACTATATACAGAACCTCAGACTCTCTATGCTTAGTAAAAGCAACCAAATGGGCCCTGGGTTCCACTGTATCCTTGTTGGGATTTGCTGTGGGAAAGTAGAATAGGGACAGCCCCAGGAGAGACCCTTTCCAGCACCGGTTGGTTCATACCCCTGGGGGTAGCCCTGTCTCGAGGTCAATTCCTTCCCCCTTAATATGCAAAGTGACTTGCCGGTAAGGAAACAGTGCTGTGGTGATGTTGCTTAACTCCTGAGGCCTGGCTGGAGGTGGAGATACCACCCCCTTTCCATTTGCTCCTAGAACTGCCACTGTGATAAGTGTCTGTGGAAAGCTCTGCCACAAATGAAATATGTATATTACCCTCCATAAGTCTCAGGGACCTACAGGGATAAGAGGGCAGAAAGACAGTAAGAGCCAGAGGTCAGAGAAGACAGGAGGGCAATAGCGTCTTCTAGATAATGACAGGACCACTTCACTCACTGCAGCTCTGCACCAGATCTGCATAGGACTGGGCCAGGCAACATTCTAGCTCCTGAAGCCACCACCCTAACTGAGGAACTGTGGACAGCTGATGGCTCCTTGGGGAGGGAGAGTCCATTTTTTTTTAAGTGTGTGACTACTAGTAGGCCAACTATGCGCCATTGGATGCTCCAAACCCAGGAGTATATGGGCAGCACAAATTGAACTCAGTTAATTTTAAAAAAAGGATGCAAAGTTGGGGGTGGGTGGGGAGGTAAGGGTGGATCTGGGAGGAGTTAGGAGAAGGAGTTAGGGGTAAATATGACCAAAAGACATGGTATGACATTCTCAAAGAATTAAATAAAAATACACTTATGTATTTTTTAAAAAGGAACTGCCACTGTGTTTTGAGGAAGCCCAGGCACAAGAAGAAGTTGTTGATGAGTGTTTTGGCTAAAATCTCCCTCGGTTGAAATTGATCCAGCGTCAACAGCCAGAAGAGTGAACATGCCTTCTAGAGGACTCCAACTCTATCTACTGTCTTAATTCAACTATTCAAGAAATCACCAGCCGCACTGCCCAGGTGGCCAGGTGAAGCCCGGGATCAGGAACAGACTAACAATAAATGACTGTTGTTTAAAGCTATATGGTGTTCATGGTGAACACCTGTTCCTGAGCCTAGGGACAATCTGAAGAGTTAGAAAACTGGCCCCAAATGTGTGGCTGTAAATTTCCTGCTGCAACCTTTCAGAGTCCCTAGTCCCTAGAAGGTGAGCACTCTACCTACCTGTATGGACTTACCAAACACTCCAGTCTGAAAGGTTTCGTGGGCGTGGTGAATCCTGCGCTGTGGATGGGGTCTGGGTTCAGGCCGTCGTTCCACTGAGCTAACAGTGCATCATGATAGACAGTCACTCCGGCTGCTTTGAGCGCGTCTCCCACTGCGCTCTCCACTGAGTAGTTGTTGAGGCAGGTGATGTTTGAGTCAGCTGGGGGATGCACAAGATGGATGCAGGTCCCCCTCACACCAATATGCAAGAGCGTCTCCACTGTTGTGTAAACATCAATTGTATTCCCATAGACAATGACGTTCCCTAGAAAGGAAAATGCTAAGCCATACAGTTAAAGAAAAAAAAAAAAAAGCATCTTATTAGTCAAATGCTAATAATACCAAATTGCTCCCTGTAACCTCCTCATTTTTCAGCTGCAGGAAGCCAGTGGTGTTACCTAGCAACAGCGACCAAGATAATTTAGTAAAGAATTGGCACAAAACATCCCACAAAGTAGTCAAGTACTTCTAACTCAGAAGTAGGACATTCATTTATGTTCCTATAATTTGAAAGTTGAAATTATGCTGAAGGAAATGGTCTATAATAAAACCTTTTATCTTGTTTTTGTTCCCTATTTGCTAGAGTTTATTAAAGAGACAAAATTGCTGAAGTCAGCAATGCATACAACTTTTCCCTGAGAGAGGAAGGGACACCGGTAAAAACATATTCACACATTCAACACTACACAGAGCTTAACTATTTAAATGTTGACCTGGGTTGATTTCAAGGAATTTTCCCTTTTTTGAGAACTAATGGCTAGAACATTCTACTTCTCAACAAGTAATTTTATAAAGATTTAAATTGCCATTTTTAGAATTTAATGCGTCAAGACCTAGGTAGAGGGAGTGAACAGTGTTATTTTGGTCAGTAAATATAAAATATTCTTATAAGAGTTCTCTTGTATAAGAGCATTTTGATAGTAACAGCCTATCCTATTTATTTGCATTTTTTTCAAAAAAACTAAGGAAATAATTACAAATGCTAATCTATTACTTTACCCGTTTTAAGATCAATGACACTTTAGGATGAGTATAGGGTGTGCTGGTTTTGACACTGAATTGTTTTGGGTTTTTTTTAACCTTTTTAGAAGAAAGAAATTCCTGAAGACTCATTTTTGGATATGTTGTAAGAATTTTACCATAAAATCTATGCTCATTGAATCTCTCTATTTTCACTGGTTTATACAATGGCATGAAAAGGAATTTCCACAAGGCAAAATAAACAGCAAGAGTATTTATTCAATTTGGTTGAAATTATGCAAAAGTTGCTTTCAATCCAAAATTTTAAAAGAAGTGTGATGGCTTATTTACTTTGGAAAAAATAAGCTAGAACTTTTGGATGACGTGTCTTGGGGAAACCCATGTCTAGAAAATTCTCCTGTGTCCTGTGCCTCTGCTACGGAATGCCAAGCCAGCAGCGAATGGAGGGCTGGGGCCTCCCTGGCCAGGTCACTTTTTACTCAGTGCAGCACCTCAGTGAGCAGTTCCTGCCTCCTACAAAGCATGAATCTAGGCTGTCTAGCTCACAACAAAGAGTTAGCCTGCCAGGAGAGCTGAAGCTTGAACCTAGAATCACCACGGGTTTGTATCTTCTGCCCTTTCTAAATATGCGTGCCAAAACACTATTCATTTTCAGCTGAAAGAATTTAAGTGTATAGGCTCCACAGAAGCCAGTTTGGTATTTTCTAGTCTGGCCATGCTGACTGTGAGCAATTTCACTGAGAGATGGGCCTTTTCAGAATGGGCTCACGGAGATGGAGCAGCACAGCGCTGCTGGGTGTGGGAGCTGGACTCTCTAATGTTGCCCTATGGATGGTACACAGCTTCAGAGGATGATGTTTTCCAACTCAAAGAAAGATACGTTTTATAAGGTCTATAATGTTTATATGATGTTTATTGAAAGTCTAACTTCTGAACAGTTTTGGCTATTGTACTAGTCAGCTTTTTACTGTGACAAAATATCTGCAGGAAAACAATTAGCTTATAAGGAAGATTTATATTCCCACATGGTTTCAGAGGTTTTGGTTATAGTATCTTGGCTCTGTTGCCTTTGGGGCTGTGGTGAGGCAGGACATCATGGTGAGGAGTGTGTGGGAAAGGAAACCTGTTCACCTCATGATGGTTGGAAAACAAAAGACATAGGAAGGGATGAGGTACAACTGTCCCATTAGAGGGCATACCCCCAATGAGCTAACTTCCTTCTGTTAGATGCCACTTCTGAAGGATACAACCACCTCCCAGTGGAGCCACAGGCTGGTAACCAAGCCTTTCACATATGGGCCATTTGGGGCTATTCAAGATCTGAATCATGACAGCTATCTTTAGTTTGAACCAAATTCCCTAATAAAGAAACGAGATTTTGGTTGTCATAATTATCAGCTATTACTACAACACTGTATAATAAGCCACTCCCAAACTCAATGTCAACCAGCTTAAATAAGCATGCTATGGGTTGGCTCACATCTGTGATAAGTATGTTAGCTGATCTGGTTCCATACTGTGGTTGAATTTGAGTTTGTCCAACATGTGTTTCGTCTTCCTTGAACTGACAGCTACTTGAGGCACATTCTGTATATGGCAAAATGCAGGAGCACATCTGCTTACACAGTTTCATCTAAAGTTTTCATTTAAACATTTTTCATTTGATTATATTTTCTCATCACTCATAAAATATATTAGAATTGGGGCTGGAGAGTTGGCTCAGTGGTTAAGAACACTGGCTGTTCTTGCAGAAGACCCGGGTTTGAATCCCAGCACCCACATGGCAGCTAATAACTGTCCGTAACTCCAGTCCCAGGGGCTCTGATAGCCTCTTTTGACCTTTGCGGGCATTGCATGACATGGGTGCACTTACCTACATGCAGGCAATACAAGCATACACATAAAATAATAAATAAAATTAAAATATATATATTAGAATCTCTTTATAATTTGTTGGAAATAAATCAGAATGTATTACAGATCACAGCACAACCTTTCACAAAGAGGAGATATGATCGCCTGATATAACAAAGTCAGTCTATGATTCTTTGCCAGTTTAATCTCTTGCCTTTTAAATGTCTATCTGTGGGAGGTTTTTCTTTCCACTCTCTTCTTGAAAATGGAAGGGCTTTTTTCTACATTATTTCTCACTTTACTTTGCAAAACGAACTCTTAATTTTGAGCAGCATACAATGGAACAGAGTAAAAATTCTCATTTTGAAAGGGGAGGACAGCAAGGAAAGATCAGACTAAAGACTGAAGTGCAGCAAGGTAAATACAAGGCCTATAGCCCAGTGTCTGGCATCTAGGGCTTATAGTAGCATCATCTGGGCTCCAGTGGGCTTTAGTCGTCCTGCCCATAGGGCTCTGCTACCTTCAACTTACATAAGATCTCCCTTGAACCACCTCCACTTGACATTTGCAGCTTTCCTTGGTGGGCATTCCATGTTCCTGACTTCTCAACCTGGAATTTCCACTGCAATTTAAGCTTCACTGTCACATTTTCATGTGATGGCCTCTCAGGGCCTCCTTGCAGAGAACCTGGCCCTGTGGCAGACTGGTTGGTCTCAGCAGCTTTCTGGAACCTTGGTACCAGCCTCCACGACTCCGTAACTCTTACATTTTGGATGTCAGCAAAACTAGCACTAGATGGATATTGCCATCAAGTTACGGTGTAAGCTTGAGATGCAGCCTGAGCCCTTGGACTGTGGCTGCAGTGCCTGAGTGCCTATGTGATTGCACTATGGAACAGCTTTCCTAGTTGGTCATTTTTAATTAGTGAATCCCTGCTGAGGAGCTCGCTGTTCAAGCATTGCTTATTTTTAGACCCTTTTCTTCTAAAGATGAAGGTGTTCTAAATGAGTTTTTCAGTTTTACATCCTGGAGCCTGATGGCTGGGGTCTTGCCAAGGTACCATTTCTACTGCCCCAGTGCAAACTGTACTAAGTTTTTGCTATAAAAAATATCCAGTCACCAGAGGGGCTATGAAACAGAAGCAGGTTCACCTTAATAACAGTAGATCTGCATTTTAGGTTCCTGTGTAACTGACAAAATCCTATATAATCCTCAGGGTAACCAATGTTGTATGTACCTACAACAAACTGTGTGTAAACACCACTTTTGCATAGAGATGGCATTGAAACTCAGCAAAGCAAAGAATCCTATCTGTAATGTGTTAAGGAAAGGCAGGTACCAGTCAGATAAAAGGGCAGGTTATGGAGGCTTTTAGGGTCTTGAGAGGTTTGTGCTGCCGACTTTGTTTCAGATTTCAGATCTTAGGGATTTCTTACATTTTATATGGAGCTTATTAGTTGTATAATTATCATATCACAAGCATTAGCTCAATTTAGGGGGAATCAAGTCAGGAAGGAAATGAAGAGAGAAAGAGGGAGACAGAAAAGTAGAACAGGAAATACCTCAGAGACACAAACTGTCCCTGATCCCAGGGAAGAATTAAAAGGAAAAATTTTAAAGTCAGGGAAGGAAAGTATAGTTCAGATTAGCTGAGGGGTAAGTGACTAAGGAATGGAAAGGGGTGACACATGCTAGGCTTTGCTGACAGCTGTGTGTCAGCCAGCATATACAGGACATGGATGGGGTTCCCCCCAGCACAGAATACCTTTGCCCCATATGGAAGGAGCTGAGGCAGCCCCAGGATATGTAGGGTCCATGTGCCCATTGCTGTAGGATGCTCTTAACAAGCCAGAATGCTCTAGTTAGAGATGAATTTAACCAATGTAGTCCTTGCAACTATTTGAAAGCACATTGCCAGAGGCTCTCCTTACATAATAAGGACATCAGACACTGCTTTGAGTTTGTATGTATGCCAGGACACTATAGAGGAGGAAATCAGAAGATCTCCTCTAATGCCAGTTTTATGCTAAAGGATCTGGTCACAGCATGCTTTCCAGCTCAGCTTGTTTAACAGATAAGCAACAACTAGCTTTTGCACTTGATCCAACAGGTGGCAGATGAGGGAAACACTGTCCTACTTTCAAATAGCAAGCAATAATGTATGATTAGAATTCTGGGTGAATTTGTAATAAAAGATTGTGGAATATAGTCATAGTGGCTTCTACAGAAGGCCAACTTTCCCCACTCCTTTGAGGGAATAAATTATGCATCACTAAGATGACTGATCTGGGAAAGGAAGCTGGGTCTAAGTGGAGAGCCTCTCTGAAGATGACCTTGGTCAAGAAGGAAGTCATTTTCTCCTGCAGGGCCATAGGCAGCTGCCTTTGAGACAAGCATGGAAGGAGCTTCCCAGAGGATGGGATGGGGGTG